TGTCTACCGATCAGTCCTGCCTTGGCACCAGGCGGAGTGGGGCCCCCATGTGACACGCTCTGACCAAATGGTTGTGGTAAGTTTCAAAGTAAGATCCCAGCCTGAGCCTACCATCACACTTCCTACCCCAGAGAACCAGCGTTGTTAACTGTGCCACATCTCTATTCTAAATTTAGGCATCCTTTTTTTTTTTTTCCAGGCAAAGATTACTATGCAAACATTTAAGAAACAAACTTTACCCAAAGTAATTTTTTCCCCCAACTTCTATTTGGTTTCCTGCAATGTTTAGATGACTCATTCTCTTCCAAGAAATGTTAAAGAAAAGAGATGCAGGCTGTATATTCGTGCACAAAGATGGCTCTGTAAATTCTCATTTTCTTGCCTGCTTCTTTTTTTATAGGAAACGGAAAGGCTGTATGGTCTTTATTGTCATATAAGCGGCCTCATCAGGTTTTGTTGTTCCCGAGAATAAATGTCTCTGTTGTCTCTGGGTGGGGCCCCCTTGCAACTTCCCAGATCTGTGAGCCCCCGCAGTGGCCAGCACAGAAGGCCTTCCTGAGGGCATGCTTTTCCCCAAGGGCACACAGCTATGGTGTCTGAAAGAGAGAACGGGTGACCTTTTATCATCTATGAAAGGAGAGACTGGCAATTTCCTGCCTCTCTCCTTGGGTCAGAATCACCCGGCTGCTGGGGGCTTTCTCGCGCATTTTAACTGGGCTAGCTGTCTGTATCTCTAGCCCAGTCCTCAGCAAGGGGAGCAGGACATCAGATCACTTCAGCAGCCTGTTCAAATAAACAGGGATCATAGTCGAGTGGTCCTCCCAATTAATCTGTACGCGAAAGGAAACATCTGCCTGGGCTTAATTGCTCTTTGATTGGCTAGGCTTTCCCCCCCTCCCCTTGTCCCCACACACTCTAGGGCTAAGTTATTTCAGTCATGGATTAGCAACAGGGTAGAGGAAGAGAAGCGTTCTTTAGCCTCTGCCATTTCAGCATAAGGAGGTAGTCAGAGGAGGAGAGGCTGACAGAGAGCTGGCCTGGAAGCAGGAGGGCAGGGTGGTGGGAAGTGATACTCGTGGTCACTTCCTGACCCTGTTGCTGACTCTGGGGCTGCAATGAGTCATTTTACCTCACTTCACCTCCTTGAGCCTCTGCTGCTTCAGTCGACTCCGCCCTCTTCATGATGAGAAGGAAAGGCGGTATGTGAGATCAGAGGTGAAAGGCATTCCCTCTTGTGGCTTCTTCCAGAGGTTGAGGTCATTGGATGAGAGACACTGGGGATGGTCAATGCAAGACTGGTGAGGTATCCCTGGAGCCATCCATGTTGTAGATCTGGATCCCTAAAGAGAAGTTACTCATTATCTTCTACTCCACAGTGGGAAGCCATCCGACTGTACTTTAAGGGGAGTAATGCTACTCCACAGTGGGAAGCCATCCGACTGTACTCTAAGGGGAAAAATGTGTAAAACTATAATAATATGGACTCTAAAAGCCAGGCAGAAGGTTGTTCTAGAATCACAGTATGGCAAAGGTTGGAAAAGACTTTAGGAATGTTTGAGCTGAAGACTTTCATTTTGTGAAAAGGAAAAACAGAAGCCCAGAGAGATTAACCAGGTTGTCCAAGTTATCTTCTTGGTGGTTGAGGAGCTGGAAATTGAAGGGAAATTTTGGTGATTGCTAATTTAGGGCTCCTTCTACCCCATTTCTCACTTACAGCTGTAAAAACTATTCATGATAGAGGTCACACATGTGTTCTATTCTGTAATGATACCTTAATAGAAAAATGACAGAATATCTTCAAAGAAAAATGGCAAATAAGAGAAAAATGAAAATGATAAAAACATGCTTTAAAATAATGCTTTGACTCATGGGCCAGCTAAATGTTGTAGTGGTTAAGGCAGCTGGATCCTGCATGGCCAATTGCATGGTTCAAGTCCTAGACCCAGTGGCTTGAGAAAACACACCAGCTTTATGTGTACACATGCTCAAAATCCCAAGAGGAGAATGGAAAAGAAGAGACTGTGTGTGGTATGGCTAGTCCCTCGAGGGGGGGGGGGTGATTTCTCACTTTTCCTCTCCTTCTCTGTCTCTCTGGCGAGCATGCACCCTATAGCAAATGACAAAAACTAAAAAATAAATAAATAAATAAATAACACCCCCAAACTCACTAGAATCAAAGGAGTGCAAATTACAATAGGATACCACATCAAATTGTTGAGACCGAAAAATAAAAAAAGAGAGAGAGAGAAATAAGGATTCTTACATGCTGTTGGTGGTTTTTTAAATTGGTACAGGTTTTCTCGAGAACACTTGTATGGTATAAAATGAGTACTCTTTGACCAGCAGTGTTACTTTTAGGAGAACGTAATAAAATACGATGCTCTGCCAAGCTGACCCATATGGGAAGGTTCCGGGTTTGCTTCCAGATGCTGGGAGTCGATGGTGGCATCAAGACCCTGTTGGGAGTATATAATCTCTCTGTCTCTCTCTGTGTGTCTGTCTCACTCTCGGAATTAATAAATTTTGAAATACATGTGTATGTGTGTATAAACTGCTATATATGGGGAAATGTTCGCAACATATGCTTAAGTGAGTAAGAGATCAAAAAAATGTTTACAGTGCAATCCCAATTTTGTAAAACTAATGAGAAAGAAAGATTAAAAAAAATAGATAACAAAATCTAGAGTAGGGACTAAGGATTCTTTTCTTTTTTGAGGTTTTCTATGGTTTCCTTTCATATTATGATAAACAAACATTACTTTTATTATCAAAAAAGCGTATTTTTTTTTAGAAATTTTCGCTATAGGGCACGTGTACTCGCCAGATAGACAGAGAGAGACAGAGAGATAGAAAGCGAGAAATCACCCCCCCAGGGGGGATGGTCACGCCGCAATCCCTTCTCCTCCATTCTCCTCTCGGGATCTTGGGCACGCACGCACATGCGCCCGGCGTGAGTTCTAAGCCACCGGGTCCGGGATGCGAACCGCGGTCGACTACGTGGGAGTCCAGCGACATAGCCATTATGCTAACTGCTGGTTCCCAAAAAAGAGTATTTTTAAGGTAAAAAAAAATATTGTAAGTTATCTTGAAAAAAGACAAGATCTTAAATGATGACGTTTCTGACATGGAAGTCTTTTCTTTCTTTGCTCAATACCTGGCTGTGCTAGGAGTCGGTATCATACCTTCTGTTGGAAGGGTGTTGTTGGTATCTGAATTTTTAGGAGGGAAGAACCAGAAGGAGCTGGCAGAAATAAAATGAGGGCTTCCCACTTGGGGACCCAGGCATACCATTCAAGGTTCCCCCCTCTCTTGCCTGCTTGATACACCACACTCAGTATGGAGGGCATGCCTGCTTCCTTCTTGTTTCCTCCTCTGTTTCTGCTGTTCTCTCTCTGTAGTTCAATGCCAACCCTGGGTGGCAGCAGTACAGAACCTGAGAGCCACCACTGCTCAAGACTAACTAGTTAGAAGTACCTTAACACATATTATCAGAATCAAATCATGTCAGCTAACCTCACAAGTAGTCATTATTGAGGTACCATTAGCTGAAAATTTGGAGTGGAAATAAAACAAGAAGGAAAGTTCCTTCCTGCTTAGAGGTTATCTATTTAGGGACTATTTCGCTAGAGAATTTGAAGTCCTGGAATGTTTACATACTGTTTTTCTAGCTCATCCTGGTACACATACTTCCTTTGCAAACCCCTGGAATGCCTGACTGCAAGTATTTGAGAAAGTGAGTTCCACCTAACAACAGTTGCTAGGTAGATGTGGCTTTCAGGCCTGCTCTTTGGGGACCACTTGAAAAAGCAAAGGCTACAACCCATGCTTCCTCACACGATTGCCTTCGCTAGGCTATAGGAAGAGCGCATTTCATTTTATTAAAACTCTTTGAGTAATCTGGCCATAATTGGGTCTGATCGGAGTGGTTATCTGATTTGCTGGGTTAAATAATGGGCCTTAATTGAGTCTGTGTTATTTGTAGAGTGAGTGCTGCTCTGGCCTTGTTGCCCCCTCCCCCCTTGCTGTTTCCCAATTAACCTTCCGTTCTTCTTTCCTTGCAGAGTAAGGAAGTCGGCCAGCAGCTCCAAGATGATTTGATGAAGGTCCTGAACGAGCTCTACTCGGTAAATCAGACGGGTTGCTTGGCTCTTTAACAAGCAGAGGGAAGCAGCATTTGGCAGCTGGCAGCCATAGTCACATCAGCAGCAGAACCGAGCTGAGGTGGAGGACATGTCCCCGATGGGTGTGACCCCACCCATCTTTTTGTTCACGCTCCTATTTTCAAAACTGATAGAGCCAAAAAATACTTCCTCAAAATAAGACTCCTGCTCAGCTGTGCAAGCTCACCCTGGCTTGACTTGGGCCAGAATTGCTAGAGACCGGCCCCAATGACACATTGGCAGCAAACAAGGGACCGTGAACCTAATAGCAAGTAAGGTAACCTGCCTTGCACCGTTAATGGGTGCCTATTGGAAAGGATTTGTCATTCCAAGTTCTGAACTGAATGTGGATGCTCTAGAGGGAAAGCAGCACAGAGTCCTAAATGCCCCTACTATGAGGGACCAGTTCAGGTAGAGAGGGCTTTCCTTCCTGGAGCTTTACAAAGACCAGACCTCATTGAAGAGACAGGCTCAGGCATGGAGAAGGGAACACAAAGTGTTCTGAAATGAGTGTGCGTCGGGCACGTGTGGCTTGTGGCTGATGCATGTTTTCTCATGCACAAGTGGTGGTGGTTTTTCTTCTTCCATGTTCCATTAATTATTAAAATACGCACACACATGCACCCTAAGGAGATTCCTGCTACTATGAAGGGAGTATTTCAGTTGTCCTTTCAGGGACCCCTTCCCCAGCTCGGCCGTGCCAGCCCTCTGTGTCATTCTCAAGGTTGCCCCACCTTGTTGGCAGGTGAAATTGACTTCCTGTGTTAACGTACCTGTATGCTGCTTGCTCGCTCGCATTCTCTATCTCTTTCTTTCTAATTCACAGGGAGAACAGACAGTGGTGACATGCATTATAGGCACTTGGGATCAGAGAATTCCGTGTTCTCGATCCAGAAGCCTAGGTGTGGCCATTTGGTCATAGCAACTGTTGAGTGAGTAAATAGTGTAGAATAGTCATTGGACTGGTCTGCAGCACTGCTCAGTTTGTTTTGAATTTCTGCTCTGTGACACTTCTGTTTTGAAGCCAAGAAGATAGATGGTACCCTTTGGTTCTGTTCCCAAGTTTTCATTTCTTTCAAATGAAGTTAAGGCTTTTTAAAAATAGAAGTATGTCAATGTGAGCCATTTTCAGACTGGATGCATTTCCTTAACCTTGCCTTTTTAATGCTTTACTTATTTCCTTTATTTTTAGAGTACTTCTAGATATCAAGTGGAGCTATTATTCCTTTTCCCTGGCAGAGCATTCACTAAGATAGTAAATGATACATGTCATTTTGTGAATCCTTTTCTTTTCCTGTAAACATTTTGAGCCTCTGCTGTTTGCAGCTGTTTCTGGGGAGGAGCAGGTTGGATAACCAGCTAACCTGAAACCAACTCAAAGCCAGCATGCCACTCACTTCAGCAGTGGGACTCAAGGCAACAGAGGAAGATTAGTGTCTAAGGATCTGTTAGCTTTTACCCAGAGTCCTAGCTCTCTTCATTTGCTATGATTTAAAAAAATAATAAGTAAAAGGGTCTAAGTTGTATTGGAAAGTGGAAGAAAAGCCTGGAAATTACTGCTCTGGTCCAAAGAGAGCCAAGCTGTTACCTCTATCTGCGGTCAGTCAATCCAGTATTAGCCAGCTTCTTTACTGGCCATTGTGAGGCCAAGGTCAGTGCAGAACACCCCAGCTTTCCACTGCCATTCAAATGGAGAATGGGCTGAATGTGGTATCCCTCACCATCAGGTAAATCACTGTGCACCCCTGTAATCTGTCCAAGGCCAAAATGAAAGTTAGATATTTTCCTCTAGTGGCCATGAGGAGAGAGTAGAGGATGCCAGAAAGTGCCAGAGAAGGCAGAAAGAACAATCTAGTATGGTGATTCTCAAGGAGGGTGATTTTTCCCATAACAGGATATTTGGCAAGGTTTTGGGGATGTTTTTGGTTGTCACAACTGGAGGAGTAGGGGTGCTACTGGCATCTAGTGATCTAGAGGCCAGAGGTGCTGCTAAAACCCTGCAGTGCAGAGGATGATCCCCCACAACAAAGAACTGAGCGGCCCAGGATACCAACAGTACCACGACTGGGAAACCCTGGTCTAGTGACCAGGGCCTCCGAATATGGCAGCCCCGATTCTACTGCCTTGACCACTATCTATATGAACTTGGGGGCTCTGCCTAACCTCCATGACCCTGCATCTCTATATTCTGCATGTACTAGGATCTCCATATCCTGAGGGGTACCTCGATGGGGGAGTCTTACTTCCTGAAATATAGGACTATATAATAAGGGTCAAGTGAATGTGCAGATTCTGTAGGCCAGTAGAAAGTTTGGGGACTAAAATTATGAGTCATTTCTTTTGGAGGATGAGATAAGCTTAGGACTGCTCTGAATATGGCACTGTGGGGTCAGGGTGGGACTAACTGTCCTGGTTTGCCTAGGACAAGTTTTCCTGGAACATGGGACTTCCAGTGCTGAAACTGGGGAAAGACCTGGGTAAAATAGAATGGTTGGTCACCTTGCATGGGATAGTGGTTTCATTGGGTAGGAAGATAGGACCACCGCTGTAGGCTGCTGTATAAATGCTCTCTAGGAGGAGTTAAGAAAACAAGGGAGAGATTCGTGTAAGGAGCTTTGTGCTTAGTGACTCTTCAGGAAGGCAAGGAAAGGCCTTGTAGGCAATCAGAGTTATTTCTGGGCACTGGAAAAAGGAAATGAAGGATTTAAGAAATCTACCCTATTTTTCAGTGCTCCTCTTACCTCACATCTGCCCTGAATGCCCATGAATATGCCTGTGGGGGCAACCAATTACCCAATGGTTTGTAATTGAAGTACTTTTGAACTGTAATGATCTAAGAACCAGGGCCCAGGTGTTCCTTTAAAAAGATGTCTTTGGGCTAAAGGCCCAGAATCCCACCATAAGTGGCCAGCTGCCCCTCTGCACCTTCCTCTTTTCTGTCCCAAGAGCTTTTGATTTTCCTGACTTGGCATCCTATGCCAGGCCCACTTCCTACAGCTGCTGTTCAGAGAGCAGTCCCTGTGAGCATTCTTCTCCACATGTTTTCCCCCCCATAATGAGCTGACTAGTTTGTAAGCCACAACCCAAGTGGTTTTCTGACTGATGCTCCAGGAATATTCTGACTGATGCTCCAGAAATGCCTTTGAAATTATTCCCAAAGGACTCAGATTCTCTGCCTCAGTTGTACTTAGAGGGAAAGCTCAGCAAGCCATAGCAGTATGAGCTAATGCGGAGGCACTGAAGCCATTTGGATTCACTAACTATGAAGAGTCAAGGAAGCCCTAGACTTGAGAAAGGAAAAAAGGTGTTGGGACACCCTGGGGCTATTGCTGTCCAGAGGTTTTATCCTTCTGTACTCCCTTAAATGTATATCCCTTTAACTTGGTCAGCTGCTGTTTCCTTGCTAAACTACTTTAGGCTGGTATTTAGCACCTGCTCTCTCTCTCTCTTCTTTTTTTATTAAGAGAGAGATTTTTGCTATAGGGTATGTGCACTTGCCAGAGAGAGAAAGTGAGAAATCCCCCCCCCCTGCCCCCCCCCCAGGAGATGGCCCCCACCATCCCTTCTCCTCCATTCTCTTCTTGGGATTTTGGGCACGCACACACATGCACCCGGCATGAGTTCCAAACCGCCAAGTCCAGGACTCTAACCACAGTTGAAGTCCAGTGACATAACCATTAGCTGGTTCTGCTGGTCCCCATCATATGGTCTCTTGAAACAGTGGTAGTTAATTTTCCCCCAACTCTGCTTGCCTATTGATCCTGGCATAGACACTAAAGTTATGAAGACAAATAAAAGATGTTCTTAAACTCAAGGCATTTAATTTTAATAGAAAAATCAAGCAACAAGGGGGGGAAAAGGAGGCAATAAAAATTCTTACATGTCTTCACAGAGGAGGGGCTTACAGTAGGGCTCCTTGGAGAGATACCTGAATGGAATCCTATTTGCCAAGAATTCTCTTGTTTTCTGCATGTTCCTTTTTTATTGTAACCAGCTCTTGTTTCATGATGCAGTATCTTTTCATCTTCATTTATTGATGAACTGCTTTTGAAGCTTTTTCTCTCTGTTTTCTCTAAATTACATATTTTGGTTTTGGCCTTTCATAGTAGATATTTTCCTTAAATGTTGAACAATCCTTAGCTGCCTGCTCATTTTTCAATGGGAGGCACAAGAAAGTTCTGTGTTAACCTTGGCCTTCACTGTAGGGTAATCCAACTTGGTCGTATTCTTGAGGAAGTCTTTACCTCATTATTTCTGAGTCTCTTGGGTGGTCAGATTGTCAACAGAAGACTCTTTTGATCTCCCATTTATGTCTGGGGCTAAGTTGTAGAAAGGCCTGGGACATCTCAATATTCTGATAGACTCTTCAGTTGTTCTTCGTATTTAAGTTCAGTAATCTTATTCACACCTTAGCCTGGTGTCCCCTGGTGCATGGTTCCTAAGAAAATGAAATGTTTGTCTTCCATTATGGAGGAAAGGGACCTGGAGGCCTTACAGTTCTCAGACTTCCAATAGAGTCTCTTGTTTTGAGCTCCACCTTCATTTCAGTGCCTCCAATTTCTCCTGGTGCATCTGTGATTAAATCTGGTTGCTTTTTGATTCTCTCTACTTAAGGTTTAGGATTTGGTCAATTAATACTATTTGCCTACTTGCTTTGCAGCTTTTGCTTTTATTCTTTGTTGCCCACTTCAGTTTATACCTTAAAAAAATAATAATAATTGTGAATGCTCTGTGGAACTGAGAATTTGGCTTTCTGTATTATTTCCCCAGTTTGTATTTACCTTACTATTTATCCATCTGTCATCTATCTATCTATCTATGTTTCTCTAAGTCTTGTCTGGAGTGCTCTATTTCACCACTTATTCAAGCTTCAGCCTCTGCATCCCTGAGTTTTCCCTTGAATTGGAGGGCACTAATAATGTTTCTCCCATATTTTTCTAGCTTCAGTATCAGTAAGTCATTTGGACAATCACTTTGATTATAAAATCACCATTGTATGTGTGACATGTTTCCCAGCTGTGCAAAAGAGAACACAAAAGAAGAAAAGGCATTTACCTTTAGGAATTTGCAGTTTTTTAGTTTCTTTCAATAAGAGAGTTCTTTAGGGGAAACAAACAGCATAAAGTATCGCTTTTTATCATTTCATTCGTTGTCTTGTTGGCATTGTTCTTTGAGCTCTTTTTGTTTTCTCATGTTCACTCATGGCATTTCTTCTTTATTATACATCTTCACGATATATACAAGTATTTTCTTGAACAGCATTCACTTTTTCAACTAATCATTCTAGCTTTTGAATTCCTTGGTTAGGTTCAGGTGGAAAAAGAGAAACAGGAGCCTCCCATCTACCCTTCTCCAACCTGGATAACAGATAGCTCTTCTTAGTCAACTGGGAAACTGTATATCTATTTGAATTACTTAGAAAGTCTTCTTATTACTATTGGTTGTTAAATATTGCTTCTCCATTGAGTATAAGCAGAATAGATCTCATGGGAAATGGTGTCAGGTTCAGAATAAGGTGACGCCGATTTAAAACATTCTGCATCCAAAATGAGACATAATTTAGGCTCTAATGTACTTTGATTCTGTCATATCCCAATGTTCTTTACTCATTCTTTCACCTCTGGCTGATCCTAAGGGATTAGCACGCCCACAAATTCTCTCTAATTTAGGTTTTCTTCAACCTTGGCAGCACTGACCTTGTGAGCCAAGCAACTCTGTGATGTGGGGTACTGTCCTGGGCAGAAGATGTTTAACAGCATCCCTGGCCTTTACCTACTAGATGCCAGTAGCAATCCTCATGTTGTGACAATCAAGAATATTTCCAGACATTGCCCAATGTCTGCTAGAGGTCAAAACAGCCCTCAGTTGAGATATTGCTCTAACTCCAGTGCACTTTAAAAAACAAAACTAACAAAAAAGTTTTTCTTTTCAAAACTCTCTTGACTATACTTACTTAACTTTTTCTTCCAACTAATTCAGCTCTAGCTTTATTCAGAGGTGAGTCACTATTGCTTGGTGGGCAAGAACGCGGGCCTTGGAGTCTGATAGATCAGGGTTTGCATCCTGATTCTGCCATTTACTAGTTGCATGACCGTGGATACAATAGCTAATCTCCTTAAGCCTCCTCTCCTCATCTCCACAAGGGGAAATAATAATATGTCTTTCATGGAGTTATTGTGAGGACTAAACGAGGTGATATACATAAAGCTTCTGACGCCCAGCATGCACTAAGTGGTAGAGATTAATATTAGCATGGTATACCCATGCTCTCCTCTGGTGTTCAGCCACACACACATACACACATCCACCCAACTCCTACACTCTCTAATTCTCCCTCTCAAAGAAATCCCATGAAGTCAAAATTCTGGAACTCTTGAAATTCAGATACCTTGCTTTGTTTTCAAGCGTATTTAATTTCCAAGTAGAAATTCTCTGTGTGGAAACAGAAAGCCCCAGCAGAGTAGAACTGGCACCATGTGGTAGGAAGTAGTGTGTTTGGGAGGATTGGAAATGAGTTCAAGTTCTAGGCTTCTTGGCCCCTCCATTAAGAAATAGGATTGGATTCCCAGACAGTGGCTTTGATGAAAAATTTGAAAAGTGTCCCTCTTCTTTCATATTACAGCCTTTCCGCAGCAACTCCAGTTACATTTGACAGAGATTTTATACCTTCTCAGGCTCTTACCTGAATTGCGTAGGTTTGTATTCTTCATAGGGTGGCTGTCTAGAATGTAGAATTGCCGCAAAGATGATAAAATGTGTGTGCGGCACCTGGCACAAAGTCTGTAAACAATAGCTGCCATTGTTGCTGCTGCTGCGGTTGCTGTGAAGGGGAGTGTCTGATGTAGATGTGGCAGGCCAGCCAGACCCACACACCAGGCCAGTAGCAAGAGCTTTTGGGGGCCAGCAGGTGGCGTAGTAGTTAAGGTGCTGGATTCTCATATGGCTGATCATGTTTGTGTCGAACCCGGCAGCTTGAAAATCACACCAGGCCACATGTGCGTGCATGCCCAAAGTTCCGGGAGAAAAAGGGGTTGCAGTATGGCCATCCCCCTGGGGGGTGACTTCTCACTTTCTCTCCTTCCGAATCTCTCTGTCTCTCTCCTCTCTGCATGCAAGTACATGCACCTTATGGCAAAAACCTAAAAAAAAAAAAAAAAAAGGAGCTTTTGGAGCCTTTTCTTCTCCGCATTTCATGTCTGAAATGTACACACAGTATAGGCTACTCTGTGGGCCATGCTGCCCTCTTCATCAGCCCTGGAAGGCTTTCTCTTTGGAGCCTGAAAAAGTTGTTTCCTATCTACTCAGTGGTGAGAGGCAACTAAGCAATAAAAATCACTTGACCCATATGAGTAACGGTTAAAATAATAATAACTAGAAATATATAATACATGATGGGCAGACATGAAGTGATTTCAATAAGGAGACACGTTGACTCGGTTCAAACCCTGCTTTCCTGTGCTTTGGAGTGGTCTTTAATATCATGTATAATGTGCTGAACCAAACACTACTGGATGTTCCCCGTAGGGGTATGAGGATATTGCTTCATGGGGGAGAGGTCCAGCTGAGTCTGTTAGTTTGTAAATTAAAGCACTGACCCCATTGGCTTGACCTCTGGGGGTGGGGGCGGGGGGTGTCTTGCAGGTCATGAAGACATATCACATGTACAATGCCGACAGCATCAGTGCTCAGAGCAAACTAAAGGAGGCGGAGAAGCAGGAGGAGAAACAGATTGGCAAATCCGTGAAGCAGGAGGACCGGCAGACCCCACGCTCCCCTGACTCCGCCGCCAATGTGCGCATCGAGGAGAAGCATGTCCGGAGGAGCTCAGTGAAGAAGATTGAGAAGATGAAGGAGAAGGTGTGTTCACGCTGGCATGTGAAGGGGCTGGGAGGAACATTCTGGAAGTAGGACTGACAGGAATTTCCTAGTGGATGCCATGAAGAACAGAACAAGGAAGCTTTGGGTCTAGTTAGTGCCAAATGACCAAAAGTGAGTCCTTACTATGAAGGGAAAGGGTGTCTTCAGAAAGTTCATGGAAATCCATATCATGAAAAAGCTATACATGGATTTTGAAGATTTTTGCACTGAAATAAATTTGTACTTTAATTCCAGCTTTCCGAGGACTTTTTGAAGTCCCTGGTATTTGGTCTGGCAGAAACACTAGATATGGGAAGAACTTGGGCATATAGGCTCCAAATTGCTAACCTCTAGCAAGTAAATAAGGAACACTAATCACCTTTCCCAATCCATTTTTTCGAATAGAGCTAAATATCCTATTGTCTCGGGGAGTGTGGAAACAGTAGTCCTAGGATTTGGCTTCTGGTGTCAGATGTTCAGGAGCAAGGGTAGTGGCACCTCCTTTGGAGTGGCAATTCAAGGATGGATAATGGTAGTTGAAGATAGAATCAAAGTGGGGCACACATCCGAAGTAGGGAGCCTCATTAACCTTTTTTGAATTGATCTACATTATGCCCTTGAATCTCATTAAACAGAATTAGAACCCTATTTAAGGCAGATGCGCATAGGGAGTAGCAGCACAATTGTGGTTCTTGAATGTACTGTATTTCATCTTTTAGGGAACCAAAAAAAAAAAAAAAGTAAAATTGAACTTCTGTTCCCCTTTCAGCGCCAAGCCAAGTACACAGAGAATAAGCTGAAGGCCATTAAAGCCCGGAACGAGTATTTACTGGCACTGGAAGCCACCAATGCATCTGTCTTCAAGTACTACATCCACGACCTGTCTGACCTTATTGATGTAAGTGCTTAAAACTGGGGGGCTGAGGGGACCACCTTTCCTGGGTTCAAATTCCTGGCTGGACATTCCCCCATTCTGTTATTCAGGCTTCTGGGGCATTTTGAGAACAACTATAAGAACAGACGGTAGCCATGATCCGTTAAGGACTTGCCATGTACCAAGTATCAGGCACTTGACACTTTTATCTGTTAGTCCTCAATCCTGGGAGGAAGGTATGTTCTGTTTTTTTACAGATTAATATGCAGAGAGAATAGACGACTTCCTCAAAGTCAACTACTAAGTGACACCAGCAAAATTTGCACATAGATCTGATTACTGAACCCAGACTCATAACCACTGTGCTCTTTTGTTTGCTGAGAAATACCCCCTTCCATCAGCCACATGCTCATAGCTTATATTTACATACTTCTTAAAATTTCTCAGTATTATCTCATTTGATTGTCATTCCACCCTGCGGATAAGCAGGCAATCTCCAATTTCTAGATAAGGAGGCTAGTGATACACAGGGTTCAGAGACTTACCTGCTCAAGGTTACATATACTACAGATTAGGGTCCTGTCAGGAAGGTATCCAGAAGCCCCCAACAGCCGGCATGTTCTTTTTAATATGTGGTACAGGACGATTGAGAGAAGCAGAATCGTGGGCACATTTGTTTTGCATGGGGCAGGCGTAAGGATAGGCTATCTGGTTTTGACCTTGTTGGTTAGTGTTTCTCCTGCTGCTACCTCCCCTCAAGCCCCATAGTGGAGTGCGTGATCCATTTCACTTGCAGACTCTGATCTGGCCCAGTTCCTGAGCCAGGCACAGTAAAGCTCTATGAACACACGTTTTGCCACCCTTCCCTCCATTCATTCAAGTGTGGAGTCTAGAGGCAGCTGGTTTAGCCTTGGCATCCTGGTTTCGGGGGTTTCTGGGGTGTCCCAACCAGTCTTCTTTCTGAGACCTGCCATATGCCTCCGGGTCTCAGCACAGCAGCTGACTTTATAAGCTTTTAACCCAGCTTGCGTGCTTTGCTTCCATTGGTTTCCCCACACAAACCTGCCACATTTCACAACATCATGAGACTTCCTTGTCTAAGATTCGCTGTTATTTAACTTTTATTTAACTAGCTGGGTCATGTAGGCCTGTCACTGAACTGTTCTGTGACTCTGCATTGTTTCCCGTCCCACCTATGCCCTCAGCAAACTAGAATGGGACTCGCTCATTGGTACTTACATCTGGCCTCACATCAGAATTGCTTGGGGAACCTCTCTAAAATACAGACTCCTGTCTCATTTCAGCAAGGATTTTCGATTCAGTAAGTTTCAGCCTCTTCATGCCCTGGGTGTTATTGTCTAATGGGTAAGTGGAGCCCCGGTCCCTATTCAGGCAACTCTTTGTTCTGTCTGCTTGTTGATGCCAATCTGAACACCGTCCTTCAATGGAGGTCAAAGCCCTAAACAAGATCCTTTCTCCTCCTCAGAACAGTTCCTCACTGTTGGGAGAAAGACCTGTTCTCAGCACAGGAAAGGGAATCAGGTCTTTCTTATGCTCAATTTCTGCAGTTTAAGCTCACATTCAGTAAAATGTCAGACTCATCCGTCTGCCTCACCTCTTCTACTGGTTGGTCCTCCTCTTGTGCTTTTAGCTGCAGGTCAGCTTTTGCACTTCCTTCACTGAGATGTTGACCTCAAGGGAAAAGAGGGGCTACTGCCACATTTGTCTCAACCTTTGCAATCCATACTACATCAGATGTGAGCTGGTGTTTTAAAATAAGTCAAAGAAGCAAGCTAAACAAGCTCTTTTGTACCTTATTTTCATCATTTAAAAGGTGGGGGGCAGCAGGTGGCGTAATAGTTAAGGTGCTAGACTCACATGGCCGACCGCAGTTCAAGTCCTGGACCCAACAGCTTATAAATCACACTGGGCACATGTGTGTGTGTGTGTGACCAGAATCCTAAAAGGAGAATGGAGGAGAAGGGATTGTGATGTGACCACCCCCTGGGAGATGATCCCTTACTTTCCCTCTCTGTCTGTCTGTCTGTCTGTCTGTCTCTATCTGGAGAGCACTTACGCCCTAAGGCAGAGTGTTAAGAAAAGAAGGGGGGTGGCTCTTAAGACCTCAGTTTCACAGGCTGTGATTATGAAGTGTCATTGAAAAAGAAGTCAGGGCTAGCCCCATGGCTCAGCAGGCGAACTCTGTGAGCAGGGAGCCAGGGCCACATGACCAATTGCAGTTCCCATCCCAACCCCAGCAGCTTGAAAAACGCTGGGCACGTCCGTGTACCTACCCAAAATCATGATGGGATGGAGAAATAGAGGAAAAGGATCACAGTGTGACCAGTCTCCCCCTCCCCACCCCCGCAACTACCACCACCAGTCGCCTGTCTCTGGTAAATGCACACACCTTCTGGCAGTAAATAAAAGAGAATAGATAAGGAAAAGAAATTAGCCAGCCTGCTTACTACTTAGCAGGGCGTGGGGCTAGAATACTGTGCGCAAGTCCAGGCCACTGGGTAATAAAGTTACTCTTATTTCTTTGCTGCTGTGTTTTGGTTGTATCTTATTTGACTCTCTTTGTCTTTTGTTTTTGTTCTTATTTTTCCTGGTATGAAGACAGGTTAGTTAACCTTATTTAAAAAAAAAAAAAAGGCTGATAATATTACTCTGCTCTGTAGCTATTCAGTAAATATTTATTTGGGTTAAGGCTATGTGCTCAGGAGTACAAATGGAATCCAATAGTTTTTCCCCTAGAGATATTTATAGACTTTAGGGGAGTGTTTTTAAAAAACATAGGTCATGGGACCAGTAGATGGAGGAGCGGTTACATTGATGGACTCCCATGTAGTTGACTGCAGTTCGAGTCCCAGACCAGTGGCTTAAAAAGTCACACCAGATATGTGTGCATGTATGCCTAAGATCCCAAAAGGAGAATGGAGAAGAAGGTATTGTAGCGTGACCATACCCACTAGGGGGTGGTTTCTCACTTTTTGTCTCCCAGCAAGGGTACACCCTCTATAGCAAAAACCTCTTTTAAAAAAATTTTTTTAAAAAACCATAGGTCATGATCAATCCATTAGGGAAGTCATGAAATCACATTTTTGGGTTTGACTTAGGTTTTTGTTTTTGTTTTGTTTTTGAGAGGCTTTTGCTATAGAGCACGTGCGCTCACCAGAAAGACAGGGAGACAGAAAGCAAGAAATCACCCCCCAGGGGGCATGGCCACACTGCAGTCTCCTCTCGGGATCTTGGGCATGCATACACATATGCTCGGCTTGAGTTTAAGCCACCGGGTCCAGGACTCGAACTGCAGTCGATTACATGAGAGTCAAGTGACATAGCCATTATGGCAACTGCTGGTCTCAGGGTTTTTTTTTTTTAATAATTATTTTATTTTATTTTATTTTATCCATTACTATTATTATTATTTTAATTTGACCAGAGAGAGACAGAAAGAGAGTGTGAGAGAGGGGGCATTGAGAAAGGAACCGCCAGGTCTGGGACTCAAACCATGGTCGGCCATGTGGGATTCCAGCGCCTTAATCACTAAGCCACCGGCTGACCCTGTTTTTTTGTTGTTGTTAGCTTTTTTTTTTTTTTTTTTAAGAGAGATTTTTGCTAAAGGGTGCATGCACTTGCATGCACAGAAAGTGAGAAATCACCCCCTGGGGGGATGACCACACTTCAATCCCTTCTCTCCATTCTCCTCTCAGGATTTTAGGCATGCACACAAATGCACCCAGCATGAGTTTTAAGCCTCTGGGTCCAGGACTCAAACTACGGTCAACTATGTGGAAGTCCAGTGACAATTATACCATCTTCTGGTCTCTTGACTTGGTTTTTAAAATGAATATATTAGGTAGATTAAAATAGGGGAAAAAAAAAAGCATGTTTTGTAATTTTTGCTTCACAGAAAAATATTTTAAAATATATAAAAATAAAAAGAATATGAAATAGGAAAGAAAGTATCAGGATGCATCCTGCAAGGTTAAGTTTTAGTTTGGAAACGTTTATGTTAGGGGTGTGTTTGTGCTTATACACTTGTGGGTTTGTATGACAATGTAAAATGTATTTCTTAATGTAAGCTAAGGATCCAAAGAAGTTTGGGAGTCACCATAGTAAGAACAGAGGGCACTCTCTTAGTCTTCTTGTAAGCTTTGAAAGCAGAAACCAATTCTTCTCTTTACATTAGTGACCCAGTACTTAATATATAGCAGAGTACACGGTATGTTCATTTAAGAAAGGACTCAAAGGAAAGGGAAGAAGATTCCATAAGCCAAGGTTTGTTTTTTCTTTTAAAACCTTCTAATATTGTTTTGAAGTACAATTTACATTCAAAAACCAAATGGTAGTATTTCAGTGTCAAGAGTTTTGAAAATTTGTTCAGTTTTGTAACCTGTATCTTTGTCAAGATATAGAATAAATAACTGGTGAAAGAAGATTTTCGTCACTTCAGAAAATTCACATGTCTTCCCAGTTGACCCTTGACCAAGGCAATCACTGTTATGACTTCTTTTTTTTTTTAATTGCCTTAGGTCACATGCGCTTGCCAGAGAGAGAGACAGACAGACACAGTGAGAGGGAAAGTGAGAAATTACCTCCCAGGGGAAATGGTCATGCTACAATCTCTTTTCCTCCATTCTTCTAGGATCTTGGGCATGCACACACATATACCGGGTGTGATTTTTGTTGTTGTTGTCGTTATTTTTATTATTTATTTTTTATTTTTTACCAGAGAGAGAGAAAAGGAAAGTGAGAAAGCAAGCCACCAGGTTTGGGATTTGAAATGCAGTCGGCCCTATGAGAGTCCAGCACCTTAACCACTACACCACCTGCCAGCCCTTCCCACACCCCATGTGATTTTGAAGTTACCAGGTCCAGGACTCGAGCCGCTGTCAGCCATGTGAGAGTTCAGCAATGTAACATTAGAAATTGAGAGAGGGAAAGTGAGAAATCACCCCCAGAGGGGATGGCAGCACTGCAACCCCTTCTCCTCTACTCTCTGGGGATTCTAGGCACGC